ATAATTATGATTTCTGAGCAAGGTATAAGCATATCGTGAGAACCACAATCACACACGCCAGTCGGCAAAGCACTTGATGATGATAAGACAGAGTCACATCCGCCCTGTGTATGATGTGATAAAGGTGTTAGCCTGTTTAATCTTAAAATGACCCTTCCTTCGGAATATGACGCTCTCTAGTCGGCTCCAAAAGTCGTGGCCAACTTTAAAAATGTGTTAATCAGTAACCGTTCGGTGTCATCATCACCATCCATCATCATCGTCATGATCATCATCATTGTCATCATTATCATGATCGTCATCACAATCATCATCACCATCAGGTTCCTTGCCGACTGGTGTGGGCGATCATGACTCTCCACAATCTGCGATCTCCTACAGCATGTATCGGTTCATATGCTGACACATTCATGCCATGTAACAAGACTGTCAAGAATCTTTTCTCGTTTTATTCCTCTATCCCTCCTTCCATAGATCTTTCCAGTGGTCACAACATATTCACTTTTCCCTCTTCTCATCACATGGCCGAAAAATGAAGACTGTCTCCTCCTGATGTCTGTGATAAGTTGTCTTGGGGCTCCCGCTTCTTTCAAAACCTCTTGGTTGCTCTTTTTGCAACTTGTTAATAACCATGTCCTCAAAATATTGGTTAAAAACAACAACAACAACAACACGTAAACAGACAGACATTTTTTCAGCTTATCTGATTTGTAGTATATGGAAAGAGAAAAAACAACCTGAAACCAATCTAAAACAAACAAACAGCATGCTAAAAGTTAACTGAGGGGGCCCCACGTGAGCGAATTCGATAGGAGACTCGCTTTCAAATCCAGCTGCGACTCGTTGCAGCCTATGGCCGGTCTTCGAAACTGAACGATTCCCGGGGTTCACCCAGTCTCTAGAAAATGGGTACCAGAGTTAACACTCTGGGGTAAACTGAGGAACGTCGCTGTAGCTACGGAGTTTCGTGCGGACGCCGACAAAGGTATACAGTTTCTTATCAGGTGTCCGTACTTGTGGCAGAGCACTTACAGTTTATAGTTTATAACCGTGTGCAATGACGCTAGTTCCTGTCTCCCAACTGTACCTTTACCTTTAACTGAGTACCGGAAACTTTTCAGAACATCAGACAGTAGGCGCTGCAGAGGCAAGGACCGTCTCCAAGACCTTTTCTAAGACCGTCTCCAAGACCTTCTCCAAGACCGTCTCCAGGACCGTCTCAAGACCGTCTCCAAGACTGTCTCAAAGACCGTCCCCAAGAACGTCTCTAAGACCGTCCCTAAGACCGTCCCTAAGACCGTCCCCAAGACCGTCTCCAAGACTGTCCCCAAGACCGTCCTCAAGACAGTCTCCAAGACCATCTCCAAGACCGTCTCCAAGACTGTCTTGTATAGGCATTTCCGTCTCAAAAGGTCACCTCCAGCATAAGCCTCACATGAGTTGTGGATTTTTCATAATATTCAAAATAGTCCTCACTCATTGCTGCACGCGTAAAAAGATTTCCAAACAATTTGTTTATTCTATCTTTACGGGTACGCAAATTATTTGTCAAACAGGATCAAAGAAATTGACTTTTTTTTTTTTAGAAAATGGAACATCTGTACAACTGTAAATAGGAAATTCATAAGTACAAGGAAAATCTAAGATCACATGCAAAAATTCGCGTTGATACATGCAGGAGTTTTCGAGATATTTATTAAAGTAGGAGCACGAATTCTGAAACATACTATAAAACTGGACAAACTCATCCTTCTATTTTGGTAGAGGATGAGAAAATCCTAAAATGAGGTCTTTGCGCTTGGTAAACTACATTCGGAAGTCGCACTTAACCTCTCTTACCTGGATCTACTCACAAAGCATGCCAGAGTAAATGGTAATGAACAAGCCGACCAGCTGGCAAGTATTGCACACGTGCATGAGAAAACATGAATGGTCAGAGCTGATACCATCAACACCACACTGACTAGGCTGGTAAATAATGACGAATCTCTAACGCCAAAACGATTGTGAGACCTCGGAATGAAGCCCGGTGTCGTCGTCGAGGTCAAGATAAGAGACATTACAACCAACTTCTCGTGAGAACAATCAGCAGAGATCAATTGGGCTGAGTGCTGCATTGGAAGACTGAGCCCGCATGGAAATGCCCCGTGTGCAGTGGCGTCAAATGTGGTGACATACATAACGCAACATAGCGGAATGTACGGTGACATATTAAAGCATATTATACCGAAATGTAACCTTACAAAAATTACCCATCCGTCTGGAGAAGAAAATGAGAGATATGCAATATACTACTGCATTGTTAAATTTAGACAAAGGACTCCGTCCTAATTGAAGGAAGACTTTTACAAAGCTCAGATGATCTGAACGCCAGTACATTAGAGTTAGGAGCTGAAATATAAATATATATATATATATATATATATATATATATATATATATATATATATATATATATATATATATATATATATATATATATATATATATATATCTATCGCCAAGATGTTTCATTAACAAATCAGGTGAAAAACGCTACTCGCATTTACGTAGTTGCTGCAAAATATTATGCCTATGTATATCTTCTTTATGTCGCGGTTGACACACAAGGCATTCACAGTGATACTAAGACATAAAACATGACAAAAGAAACCAGACAGATTACTCAAAAATATTATTAATATTTACAAAGAAACTATCAGAGCAGGAGAAATGCTTGAACAGCTTTCACATGCGATGCCTAAGAAAAAAACTTAGCATTAAGTAACAGGACAAGATCACAAAGATATTGGAAAGAGCAGGTATTACAACAGTCTTCTCAATGCTCAGTCTATGAAGGCTTATAGTGGCTGGGTCACACCTGGAGAATGGAGAATGGCAGAGTCCTGGAGGACATTCTCTATGGTTAATTAAAGGACGGTAGAAGATGCCGAGGCCGACCTCTACTACAATGTAAAGATGCTGCAAGCGGGACATGAATGATACAGGTACTGAGGCGGACTCGTGTGAACAAAATGCAGTGGACCGTGTTGTGTGAAAAGGGCACATCAGGAGGGGATGATAATGAAGAAGAAAAAAATGATTGCAGAAAGGATGGTGAGCGTCTGAGAAGAAACACTTAACGTAAATGCTGACAACGGTCCTAAAATGCAATGCTATAACTGTGGGAGATTTCTCTCAAGGCGGGCAGGTCTTGCTAGTCACTCTAGCCAATCGCCAAGATGTGGTCAAGGCCCTTTGGCAACAAGAAATGGATTCGGTACAGATGAAAGATTATTATGGCCCGGAGAGAATGAGGCACCTGGGTGTAACCAGAGGGTCTTGCCGGCTCACAACACTGAGAGGAAAGGAAAGACGGCATATAACCAGATGATGACCGGTACTTTCACTATTGAAACTCTGGGCATCGCCATGGGCTGTGAGATCCACGCCTCCTCATAATGCAATATAACACGGAAAGGTACCAATCATCAATGGCAGTCCGGCGCTTCTGCTCTTATTCTGCCTGTGGTACCCTATGCCATTTTGCAATTTCCACTTTCGACTGTCCTTCTCCAAGTTTCATTGGGTCGTTCATGACCTAATTTGCCGTCCATCGAAGTGCTTTCCTTACCAAAGAAAGTGTCACAAGGCACTTTGTGAACTTGTCCATACCATTTTGATTTACCCCTCAGGACGTCATTTGCGATCTCTTCCTGTCAGTCATTAAGTAATGTAAATGTCCTTTTCCCCAGCCCTTTGACGTATTGGAAATATAGGGCTAGACCTATATTTTTATAGACCAATCGGCATTTGGTGGGTGATGTGGTCAGCATCACGCCAGCCGTCTTCCTAGAACTGCAGTTGGTACCCACTTAAAGCTGGGTTGATCAGGGAGTCAAAGACATTTAAAAAAACAGAAGTTCGGCTCCGTCAGGATGCGAACCCACGACCTTCCGATCCGGAGGCGGGCGTCTAGACGCCAATGCCGTGGCGATTCTCTGTCAGTCACTAAACTAGTATTAAATATCCCCCCAACAAATTTCCCATAGTAATACAAAGTATCACAGAAAACAAAAACCCATAAAAGATAATGAAACGAAGCTGAGCAGCGAAACCAAACCAAACAAAACCAACTGTTCAAACGTGGCCAATAACTAAATGTAATTCTGTAATGCCCCTAACTCCCCAGGCATTGATTAATTGATTATTAATCACTGTTTATTGCTTGATTGATTACATAGTTGAAATAACCTTCACAGCAGAAGGAATCACTGTATTTGAGCAATTGTAATCCGCCCGTTTCGCTGTGAAGTTGTACATGAAAGTCCGTGCGTGTTTTCCATCTAGGTTTCACTCTTGTTTGCAATGTTCAATGTAGAAATACGAATCAATGTCTGCTTTTTTTAATAGGCCTGCTCTCGTCGTACGGATTCTGACCCTGTTCTGAAGAAGAGGAAAGATATAATGCCCCTTTACAAGCCTATGATAAAAGGATGGTGATTGCTGGACTCTGCATTTTTAAACATAATCTCCCACGAGCGTGAAACACTATGGAATTTAATATTTTGTAAGGTTCTCATTATATCGCAGACTAACTGTAAACTAAAACACAGCACGCAATTCGCACTTTTAGGCGAAAGCTGAAGAAAACGAAGAAGAAGAAGAAGAAGAAGAAGAAGAAGAAGAAGAAGAAGAAGAAGAAGAAGAAGAAGAAGAAGAAGAAGAAGAAGAAGAAGAAGAAGAATAGGCCTGCTCTCGTCGTACAGATTATGGCCCTGTTCTGGGGAAGAGGAAAGATCTAATGCCCCTTTACAAACTAGAAGAAAAAGAAGAAAAAGAAACTGGAGGAGGGAAGGGGGAGATGATATGGTAGTGGTGGTGGAAAACAAGGAAGCGGAAACAACCAGATATATTCTGAAGCGTTTAGCATCTACACATCACATTTATTGAGGAAGACTGAGGTTCACTGGGTTTGCCCGAAGTGATGAGACAATGATTCTGAAAATTAGGAAACTCACCGTAGTACTCTTCGCCCTCGTAAACATCCAGTGCCAGGTTTGGATACAGCATCAGCAAAATCTTGGCAACTTCAAAATGAACGGGAGAGTCCATTAAAAATAAGAGGTGAAAGGGCGTCTCTCCAACACCCCCTCGTTTGTCCAGATCCCAGCATGCATCGTGAGGAGTAAATTTATGGAAATAGTCTTCAACATGGGCGGCTTTCAACTTTTGATCAGAGATTGTTTCTGTTTTGTCTGAACCCTAACAAGACATAAAAACAAGTTTCAGTACCCTGCGTGCATTGTCCTTTCTCTCTGAATGTGTGAATACACAAAATAATAGGTCATATTTCGGTTCTTTTCTTTTACTTTCCATCATCAAGGTGGCTCCAAGATTTGGAAGGAAATTCCCGGGAAAGTCCAACAGAATAGTAGTGTTAGGGTGGGAACTGAACACCGACTAAAACTAACCCTAACCACCCTCCATATAATATTGGGCTCCCGGATCAATCAAGCGTACAAATGATACCAGGAAATATCGCTGGAAGTAAAGTCAGCCGTCGTGATGTTGGATACATCCAAGATAATACACTGTTTTGAATATTAATGAACTTCAAATTCTTTGCTAACGCACTGTGAAAATACAGCAACATTTTCATTTTAAAAACAAACATCAGAAACAAGATGATAATAATAATAATAATAATAATAATAATAATAATAATACAGGGTGTTTGTGAAGTCTCACTACGCTTTGTATATAGAACAAATGTTAAAAACGAAGTGCATTGCGTCATAAAAATACACTCCAATGTCAATCGTGAAGCAATAATGCAGTAAATAACTGTCGTTTGCTGAAATATATATTTTTGTGCACTGAAAGGATAACAGTGTTATCAACGGAAGCAATCAGAATTACAATTCAATAAATAACAACAGTCACGGTGCAGAAGGTATTCAACTATATGAAATGAACGTCCACGTTAATACACTGTTTTGAATATTAATGAACTTCAAATTGTTTGCTAACGTACTGTGAAAATACAGCAACATTTTCATTTTGAAAACAAACATCAGAAACAAGATGATAATAATAATAATAATAATAATAATAATAATAATAATAATAATAATAATAATAATACAGGGTTTTTGTAAAGTCTCACTACACTTTGTATATAGAACAAATGTTAAAAATGAAGTGCATGGCGTCATAAAAATACACTCCAATGTGCAGAAGGTATTCAACAATATGAAATGACGTTTACAGTCATGTTGTGAAGCTTGTGGTGGACATTTCCTAGACCTGTTATAATATTTTATCGCTACTTCCTAGTTTCCCCCAAACAGCGTAAACCAAGGCTATTCAACTGGCGGCCCGTGGGCTTAATCCGGCCCCCTGATGTCTTGCAAGTGGCCGGTAAATCATTGCCAGTTGTATCGTATCCATGATCTTTCTATGCTGGGGCTCAGGTCTCTGACCTGTGACGATCCCCGTTTTGCACATTTCGGCCCCTCAGTTAACTTAGTTGAATAGCCCTGGCGCAGACCATAGCAGTGACTGGCTTCCGTTCAAAATGGACGCTAGGCACGGTCACTGTTATGAGTCGTGGAAAAGGTTTTGTTTCTGTTAGACGGTAGCTGGTTGCATTTTTACTTAATTTGTAGACTGAAAAGATACACTTTCGTCGCCTAGCTACTTGGTTGGGTGCATGGCGCAACATTGTGACGGCGGATTTCATTTGGAATGTTTTTCCACTGTGACCAACGTGGTGTTTTGAATAGTAAATTCAGAAAATGGCGCATGGCCTGTCGTTGCAATACTGGTGGTGCCATTTTGTTGTTGAAATTGATCGCGTGTGTAACTGCTGATCTGTTGGTAACTTCTGCTACTGTCGATGATGAACTGCATTTTTAATTTTAGACTGTTTGTGTTAGCATTTCTGATGGCTACCGTATGCTTTTAATGCGTGTTTATACAAGTGCATATGCTGAGACAGCAGTCTGCCAATCTTGCCACAAGAGACTGTGATGAACATTCTGTGTGTTTTTGGTTGGCACAGGAGCGGAGCAACTTTGAGGGGACCCGTTTGCCATGAAGCTGAAATTAACATTACAAATATTACCATGATAGCAGTGATTATTGATTCTAATTTAATGACTTTTTCTAGCACATTTTTTATGACGTCAGGTACTTGGGTTTTTAAAAGTTGTTCTGCATACACGTCTTTACAAACACCCTATAGAATAACATTATGAGAATAGTAGTAAAAAAAAAAAAAAAACAGCACAAATATAGGATGTAATTTTAATGACTGTATGTTTTGAAAAGATTGCCGTTCCTATTTTTGTAATCAGTCTGTGTGGAGTATACTGCTATACTGTGTCCTATTTTGGGTACTGTATTTCACATTACAGCTCTATTCACAATCCTTTCTACTGGTTAAATAACTAACAGTATTAGAATGAGGAAAAAATAGGGGGGTGACTGCAGTCAAGCTAATACAAGGAATTCCGGAGAAATTGGACTAAAAAGCTCAACAAAATGGGGAAGCAGAAAAACGTGCATAAAACGACACAGGCTGCCTTTTTCAAACATAAGGGAACTACATAAACGTAACAACGAGGAGAGAAGAGTACTCATGTATCTCTCCTCTCCTCTTTGTTACGTCTGCTTCCCCATTTTGTTGAGCTTTTTAGTCCAATTTCTCTGGAATTCCTAGAATGAGGCACTTGAGTGGTACGAAACGACATCATAAGTTGTAGAACAACCACATTCGAATACTTACCACGGTTAAGGAACACATACTCAACCAAAAATACTCTTTCTTTAATAGTTAACAACAGTATAGCTAAGATCAATTACTAAAGAACTGGTATAACAGCAGTGATATTCTAAAATAACGGTTACATAGCGCTTGAAACATGACGTAATACACACAATTAATTACGATGCAAAAATAATTGTTTTCGAAAAGTCTACAGTCATTAGGCAAACACTCTATAGTTAAAGTATAGCCAACATGTCAACTGTGTACTCACCGAAGCTTTCTGAGAACACTTCCATTTCCACCGAAGAAACTCACTCTCTGTGATCCGATGCGTTTTCCCATCAACATCGTACAAGAAAGCGGCCATTTCATTTCGTGCAATCTGCACCACTTGTTGTGGCCCTTCCTTGTTATAGGCTTCTATGAGAGAACCCCCTTTTGTGAGATTAACGAACTGGTAAGCTGGATTCGCTTCCATTTCTTTGTTTTGTTGTTTCCACGCTTCATCTTTTTCTCCTACACATGGTAAATTACCCATTGTGCTGATTTTGTGAGTTGCCGCAAGCAACTGCTAGACGGTTATTTTCCTTAAGGGCGGAAGTTTTAATGTATTGTTACAGAAAAGGTGTTCTGTACATGCTTGATAGTTATAATAATAATAATAATAATAATAATAATAATAATAATAATAATAATAATAATAATAATAATAACTGCAGTACTAACAATAATAATTATGTGATGATGATGATGACTATGGCGATAATCATCAGTTTCTTCTTCTTCTTGTACCAGATAGATCAACACCGTCTGGTGAGATTGATGCAGCGGGGAGTGACGACAGGTTCTGGCAGATGTTCGAGGCATAGGGGAAAGGCAAGACAGATGTTTTATCAAAATGCTACTGGCACCATTAGTATCGGAACTAGCTAGAGGATGGGGATGGGGCGCTTATCGGAGTGCTGTGATGTCGGTTCTTAAAACAACCCAGTTCAACTCTTCTTGTACCATATGATGCCGCATAGAGCTCGCCGACTATTGCTGCATTCAAATCTATCCTGTGCAAACCCTTTGATATCATGGATAGAACCCAGTCCAGCACATGTAGTCTCTGTCAGCCATTTAACTTGGAGTTTCCGTGTTCACGCCATAACTAAAAAAATTGCACAAGTTTAACAACTTGGTAAAATTCCACACTTTCTGGACAAGAATACTCGTAAAAATTGTTACGTATCCTACATACAAATTGATACTGACTATTGTTTCCCAATCTTGGATGGTTGCTCCAAATCTAATGTCAAACGCCTGAGCTCTCTACAAAATCGGGCCTTACGTCTAGTGTCTGATATAATACATTATGCCGATAAAAATTTCTTGTACGGAAATCTAAAAATCTTTTGCCATTTAGTTATCGTTTAATTTTAACAAATTCATTGACAAAATCCTTTCTCAAAATACTCCAAAATGCATTTTCCAGTTGATTAAACCCAATCCTACGAATACCGAGTAACTACTTTTATTACATTTGCCTTAACCTAGAAATGATTTATTTAAAACAAGTTTTTATTATTCTGCTCATTTATGGAACAATTTTTCCACTCAATATGAAAACGACTCCCTACTTATTTAACCGCAAACTTTTCAAAATGCATGCATACCAGTGATTATATGCCACTTTTAATGTAGTTAGCCCATAATGCATTATTTTTTAAATTTCATTATGTTTGTTTTTATATTTAACATAACATGCATTATAGATAACATGCAATTGTCAATTGCGCAGCGGACGTAACACAGTGGTGGCTGGTGGCTGGAATATTCACGTCTCGATGTCAGTACGTCAATCTAGCTTACCAGGATAATTAAATTAGGAGCTGAAGTCGGAGGCAACCAGCCAGGAGGCGCACCATAAAAATCAGGATGCCACGCACAACGCTATAGGAAATATATTTCTACGAATCGATCTAGTCTCAAAATCGTGCACCGGAACACGAAGAGAGTTGAATCGGCAAATCAGCTACGTGCACATGTGGATTGGCTTCTGAGACAACAGATCATTCCTCCAAGACTGTCCCAAATACAACATATCAAGGCAAAACGTTTTGCCAAAAAAAAAACATCGGTGCAAGTCAAACTTTACGTGTAGTTGAGTGAATTACAAAAGACAGCAAAGTTAATACTAGAGACATTGCAGACATAGATAATTTATTTCAAGCGAACGAAAGAAGAAGAAGAACATCCAGTTGTGGCCCCAAAAATGAGAGCTTTAAAGAGCTGAATGTAAAATTGGCCTGCATGCCCAATTTGTAACCTTTTCAAAATAAAGTTCGTTCGGTGGTTCTCTCATCAATGTTTATTTTAGGGTTTATTTTGAGAGTCCTCCTTTCCTCAATACATTTGTTTCCCATTTTAGTGCCTGACCCTTTTCCGCGAGTTTTTTTTTTTTTTTTTTTCAAGGAAAAAGAAACTTACTTTTACAAGGTTGTGGATGTGGCCTTGAGTCTCAACCCTCGTCCTATCATACCTGGACTTGGGGTTTACGACGGTGAAGATACTATGACAACGAAGCCCTCGTCCTTTCATACCTGGACTTGGGGTTTACGACGGTGAAGATACTATGACAACGAAGCCCTGTGCCAACAAAACGCAAGCAGAATACCTATCGCTGTCCCTCGTAAAAAAAAAAAAAAATATTACACACTGATCTATATACAGTCGTTAAAAAGTGTTTAATCATCATTATTACTATCGAAAATCGCACTTAACCTCCCTCGCCTGGATCTACACACCTGGTAATACGAGCGTAAAGGGTAAAGAGTGAGCGTTCCAGCTGGCAAGCAATGCACCAAGGCATGAAGGAATAAGCATCGACAGAGCAGATGTCGTCAACGCTGTACGGTCTGGGCTAGTGGATAATGAGGAATTCCTGACACTAACACGACTGCGTGACATGGGAGTAAATCATGGTGAAAAACGTCGATGCCATCTTCAAGGCCAAGATAGGAGTCGATATAATTAGCTACTCATGGGAACAATTAGTTAGAAATACCTTGGAATGGCTGCTGCATCGGAACACACATGGAAATGCCCAATGTGCAGTGACGTCGATTGTGATAAGATAACATATTATTATCCTCAATATCATTATCATCATGATGTGCCCTTATACGTCGCATAGGCATAGGCATCTCAATTTACTTGTTCATTGAATTCCATCCCAAGCAACCTTTTATGATATCATAGATGGAATTCAATCCATCATCTTTGGCCTCTCTCATTAACTTTCATCTAAGGTTTTTTTTCTTGGCTATCCTCCGAATAACGGCCACATACTATGGCGGCCAAAAACAGAGCCTCAGTCACATGTAAATTGCGGACTTTCGGCGACAATACAGCCACCGCTGAGAGTATCTCCCGCGCCTCTACGCGTAGCGCTATACTAGATTGCTGGGACTCACAAGCAAAGCTGCAGGAGATGCGGAAGCTGCTACTCGTAAGTCCCTGCCATCTAGTTTAGTCCCGCTCCGGTGTGCAAGTCAAGTCGCCGGAAGTCGGAAATTTACATGTAACTGAGGCCCTGTCAGAATGTTTTTGGCCGCCATAATATGCGTTCGTTATTCGGAGGATAGGTGGGGGTTTTTTCTGGGCGAGCTCGCTTCCTTAATCCCTTTGTTTTACATTTATTTAACATAACATTTGATAATTCTGATGTTTAACGTGTTGTTTACCTAGCGATATGTTAGTGTTGTTTTGAGTCGTTGAACTGCCCCTGCGACCCAATGGGGGAGGGGGGGGGGAGCCACTGCCCCCTAACAAGCATATCGTAAAAGGCGATTCATTAAGGATATTTGCTTCTAGGTCGGATTGAGTCTACCTGGGGGGCGATGAACCAACAGTCTGCATACAAATAGTCCTGATCTGTAAAACAGATGTGCACACGCAAAACTCAGGTTCTGAAACAAGACTACAGTCTAGAAGTGGATGAACAACCAGAAATTTACGCTGGAGTTTACTGCCGGTGAAAGTGAAGAAGAAGTTGCTGAAGAATATTTTAGCTACTTCTATACGCTCGTGTGCGGATCGGAAGGTCGTAGGTTCGCTTTCTGGCGGAGCCAGACTTTTTTCAAAAATGACCTTGACTCCCAGGTCGACCCAGCCTTGAGTGGATACCGGGTATAGTCTCAGGAAGTAAAGGCGGCCGGCGTGATGCTGACCACACCACCCATCTTGTGCCTAATGGTCTATAAAAATATTGGTCTAGCCCTATATGCCCTATACGTCTAAAGGCATTAAAATGGTCCTTTACTTTATACTCTTTTGGTGTTTATTTCACTTCTGCCATCATCCGTTATTACCTGTACATTAGAGGATACTCTGTCATTTATTTGTCTTTGGTTTCAGAGAGATTATCACCTGGTGACTCAATGAGCCACTTTTCGGGTGAGAATCCATCAGAAGTAAATCACAGAACCCTCGTTCAACCGTATAGCACAGTGATATAAAAGATAATACAATAAATCCTGCCCTATACCACTTATAGTGAAGATCGTAATGATGTTCCTTTAATTATACTGTAGCACAATAATATAACCAGGTAAAGTCCGGTGAAGTAAAGGCGGCCGGCTCAATGCTGACCGCATCACCCACCGAGTGCCGATTGGTCTATAAAATATAGCTCTAGCCCTATATGTCGTAGTCGTGAAAACGGATCCTTTACCTTATTCAATAACTTAATACTGTGGGGGGGGGGGGGGGGGGCTGCTGGGTCTCGAAGTATGGTGTCCGCCTCAAATGCTAGAGGTCCCAGGTTTAATCCCCGGTAAAGGCTGGGATTTTTTCCACGTGGATTTCTAGTAATTTCCCCTGGTCTCTTGGTAGTAAGACCAGACGCCCGAGTATATTGTTGCGCACGTTAGAAAAACAGTTGGAAATCGAAAAGAGTAGCCTAAAAGCGCTGCCTGGGGAACATTCTGAGTTACAAATCTACCTAAAGTATTTCAGGATTCTCGCCGGTGCAAAGGAATTTGTGCACTGCTCTGAGAATCTTCGGACTGACGCTTGAGTTTAAAAAAAAAAGAAGAACGGATCACTTATGGGTTACACTCGTGTGCCATGTTGTTGATCCGTTGAATAAACATAAGCATAAATTAACTAAATAATAAACCAAACCGTTTAACCAATTTCTACTACACGTTTTCAAACACCATGCACAATAAGTAAGTTATTCCAAAGCTGACTAAACACTTTAGAACCAACCTGCCTTCCCCTAAACATTTAACGAAATCTACGGCACGCTCGTAAATCTCGTGATAAGAATATTCGTCTGCGTCGTCCGGAAATTGCGTCGATCTGTCCCAGATGGCGATCTCAATGGCGCGGATTTTTATTAGAGTTGACAGGCCCGCTTTTTATAGAAAACGGATAATTTATGATTAAGCACGGTCATTGCGTTTGGCAAGTGTTCACCCATCTTCATTTGTCCAGTCTTTGAAGTAGTTGTTTTACTAAGAGCAGTTTTTGGACTAATTACTCGATCAA